TTTTAACTCTTTACGGTGGCCAATTTACAATTTAAACTTAGTTGATATAACCAAATTACTTGGTTCGAAGGTAGCCTAGAGGGGATGACAAGTGTGTTTTTTACACAGAAAGTAAAGCTTCTTTGCCGTTGTTCATATGTTGGATGAATCCTATGGCGGGTGGGTTGGAAGGTAAACTACTCGACTTGTGACGCTCGCTTCGTTTGACAAGTTAGGGGTTAGTTAAAAGAAAGTGAATTGTCAGAAGAATTGAATTCAGTTGCCTTGATCAGTGTTTTGTTGGAACGTTTGATGAAACAATGTTTGCGACTTGCCAGTCAGTGTGAATTTGACACATCATTACGCTGTTCTTAGATCTAAAATTATTGCTCTAAAGAGGAGCCTTACTTCAAAATCAATTGGAGTGATTGCCTAGCCGGCTAAGAATTTTAAGTTATCTTTGGCTGTAATACAGGAAAATGCCCTGAAAGCCAAGATGTAAATATTTGCAATTATCTGTGATTATTGAATTATAGAGAAACGGAAAAAAGAAACAATTGCCTTAATTTCGTACATAACTCTCTATTGTCTCTAAATGTTACAGATATTTTGGGACAGGAAAAAGATTCCTGGTGTTCTCCGGAAGTTTAATTATGCGATTTAACTTTGTCGAATGAACCTGACAAGATCGCATGTTATGAAAAGCAGAGTGTTAATAATTGTGATGGCTTGTCTCTTTCTCCTTCTACTTGCTTTTTAACGAGTACGAAGGGAGTTTACAAAAAGTGTTAAGAAAGTTTCAGAGTCCCTGGCAAGGGCGTCTATTTAAGATTGAATACGAGAAATCTATTAATGATTTACCCGTCGAAGCCACTGTTGTCAGCTCGATTTCCTAATTTTACTTGAAGTCTGGTCTACTGGTTCAAGAGTATCGGCTACTGCCTAGACTCTTTAACTGTAAATTTGTATATCATTCTCACTTCCCTCATCTACGTACTTTTTTTGGAAGGGAGGGCCCTCCCTGTGTAAGAACCATGGCTCTGCATTGCGAGGTTTGTGTGGTTTGAAAGCGTTTGACACAACCAGAGGGTAAGTTGAACGAATGAGAAAATGTGACCAAATGACTTTATCTTTTAATTTGTAAAGCCCTCTATTTCCACGACTCAAAGATGCATAGGAGAAAATAATTCACAGAGGACGAGAAGTGGCATCGCACAGCTTAATATTTCATGTTAAGAATTTGGAAAACACATATGGTTAAGGGGTGCAAGTTGCAGTTGTGTGTTGCTCTTTGTATGTATACCACTGTTTTTTTTTTTTTCGCTCTAACAGTGATACTGCAAGGAGAAATTAGAAGCAAGTCAATATTGAGGGTTAATATCGCGCAATATCATTCACTTGCAGGAGAAAAGAGTGATACACCACCTTCTATGCGAACAAACAGTTCAAGCCCAGGTCTCCATTCGTCCAGGGCTGCAGGACCGCTAACAGCGAGTACCATCTCAGCTGGACGAGGACAGGTCAGCCAACTTAAAACGATACTTGGGGTTATGATTCCTGTGTCCTTTTTCGTTGGTATTGCAGTTGGAATAATCATGTTGGCCTGGAAACGACGCCTTTGCACTTCAAGAGTAGCGGCGTCTTCTAACAGCTCGCCAAGTTCAATCAGCAACGATTTTGAAACTCATCAAGTTACTGAAACCTCCCTTAACTGTTAACTCCCCTCTCCCCTTAGGATTGAGTTGGAAGGGTTTCCCATGTTAGTGGCTAGTTGAATCCTTTGGAAAATTCAGTTTTTCAGTTCTGTTTTTGATATTCATTCAGTTAAATCCGGTTGAACTAAGCATGTTTTTCTGGTGTGAATGATGTATCAATGTCAGTTATGTCGCCGTAACTGCTAATATCTGACTGTTCAAATTGACTTTGATGTAAACTGTGATCAAGAAGTTGTAGAAATCTATGTATATTTAATTCCTTACCTGTAATTTTCTTAAAGAATTTTTTCCATAAAAGAAAATTTCCATTGTCCCATGTTAACAAAATACACGCCCCTGTTAAACGCAAAAAAATTTAACTTAAATTCATTTCTGCTGACCTCATTTAGGTTTCTTTAGCCTTAAACAACGAACAGTACTGAGACCTATACCCCTTCCCTTCTACTCCCAATGTTAGAATGCGAGCTATTCTTGCAATATTTTTATTGTTTTGTCTCTCTTGTTTCACGTGACAAGTATAGTTATGATAAACAACTCGGTGTATCAAGTCTTGTTCTGTGACTTGTCAAATTAGTTAAGGTTGAGGAAATTGGACGAGAGACAGACGTGAGAACAAACAAGCAAAAGCTCGCACCGTTTGCGTATGGAAATGTTGAAAGACAACCGTTACCAACTGAGTTTGCTGGAGGTCCATACCGTTTGTTATAGACCGTGTTTACTAAAAAATCAAAGAGGAAAAAACAAGGACCCCTAAGTTATAATTACTTACCTGACCGCTGTGACAATAAAGCGATTAGTAAGTAACTTGAGAAACAATGAATAGTCGGAACATCTTCGAAAGATTGGAGAACGCTGGAAACAAAACCATAACATTTCTTAGGAAAAAGGAATCTCATTTCTTAGGAAAATCAACAAAAATTGGCGACGAATAAGGAGCAATTTAGGCGATAAAAGAAGCGTTGAAATTTAGCGGGTCTCGTAGAAAAGAACGGCGCAATGTCATAACATGGCCAACCAGATTTGGGAGTGGTGCATCTCTAAGAATATCTGGATGAGTGCTCGTCATATCCCTAGGTCACAGAATACTTGGGCTGACACTGCTTCAAGACTGTTTAAAGATTCTGTTGAATGGTCATTATAAACAGAAGTATTTCAATCTATCCTTACACATTGGTGGCCCTTTCATATTGACATGTTCGCCTCAAGACTCAACTACAAAGTGAAAGAGTATGTTGCTTGGTACGGTGGCCCATAAGGGACATAACTTCAAATTAAAAAGATAAACTAAATTACGGTAAATAAGG